ACCATGCGAAGTCAGGGACTGTCTGTATAAGCATGTAACAGCTCTGAAATTATGCTGGGTTTGGGATAAGACTGACTTACAAAGTGCTAAGGTTTGGGAAATGATGTTTTTCAAGGACATCTGGCCACACCTCATGCTGGGTGGCAAGGCTTTGTTCATCCAACTGGGCTGATTTAGAGCCTCTAAGAAGACCTTGCATTAATTCTGAAAGAGAAGAATTCCATTTTAGCAGAAGTTGAAAAGAAATTATATGTGTCGATTGAGAACTGCCTTCTATACAAACCAGGTTTTATTTAATTGGCCAACCTTGCTAGTTAATCTTCTGGGACTTGGATGAAAGGAAGATGATAAAAGCAACCATTTAATAATAGGGATCACAAACACAAGAGATATGTAAAGGGAAAATACTAAAAGCTCTGGTAAAGAAGTCTCTCAGGGGTATCCTTGAATGGCATTTGGAAATCTCAGTTTTATATTTTTTTCTGGGGAAGCATTTGTTAGTAAAGCAGAACTTTGATTCGGTTAGAAGCCAACTGGGAGAGGACAAGGGGTCCTTAGTAGAACTGTGAAATCAGTGTGCTTTGCTTTTACAAATACTCACACATAACCTTCCTCAATTTCTGGGGTTCTTTTTCAGTCCTTAGTGTCCAGCAACCACTTTCCCCCTGATCACTTTAAAACACACTATTTGGAATAGTAGATGATTGCAATGCAGTATGAATTTAGTTGCATTTAGAAATGATCTCTCATGCTGGAAGAAAAAGATCATTTCTCCTATTAGCAGAACTTCAGGTTCTATATTGACATTTACTAGGGTTATTTCATTCTCTAGGAGAGCTGCTTTCACTCATACTTAATTACTGTGTTGAAACATTGCTGTTTATGATACAAAAGAACTGATTTATCTCTTTGATATAGGTACAGCATGTGTCCTCTTGCTTCCTAAAGCGACTAATTGCAGTGAATTTCTTCAGGACAACTTTTTAAACATGGATAAACCTATGACTTCCCAAAGCCAGGTAAAGAATATATTTCTAACTAGGCATTATTGTAATAGTGTTATAGTATGTGTGTGTGCATGTGTGTGTGCGTGTGTGCACGCTCATACTACATATTCACAGGTAAAGAAGACATGGATCAATTGCTTGGTTAATTCAAGTTTATGTCCCACTTTAAAACAATAATTATTTACATTATAATTATATTCAGAAGAGAACTACTTATCAAGCTATTGCTTTTTCAGTTTCTTTCTTGAATTAGATTTGAATTCAGTCAATTTTCAGATATGAGTTATGCTTATTAATTTTTCCACAGATAATGCATATCAGCAAAATGCTAAATGATCCTATTTATAATACCTTTGTGGTTGAAAATTATACATCAGAGTGGGAGCTGGACCCTTTAAAGGACACTCAGATCCTCTTTGTGCTGAGGCAGATGTTACGGGTAGCAGAGGACTTCTTTGAGGACTTGCCTTGAGGAAACAGGTGATCTGGCCCCCTTATGCCCCTCTCATAAAGCATGGTGCTTTGTGAAAATCGCAGAGTTCTACCTCACTGGATGGCTGATGCCCATCAGCTTGCTCTAGACCTGACAGCCATGTTAGGATATGTGCTTTGTTTCTATTCTTTTTTATTTTGTTTTCAGACAAAATTGTAGGAATGTTCCAGCTCTCCATGTTCCATCAGTTGCCTTGGTTCTGATACTTGGTCCAATCCTGGATTGGCAGGCCCCAATGAGAGTCGGTCTCCGCTGACAGCCTCCTTATGACTTCTGCTTTCATTCATGTTTTGCCTTTGGTCCCTGAGAGCATCTAACTGATGGTTTCTTCTAGGATCAGTCATACCTCAAGCTCAAAGGTCAACCTTGAGCAGTGGTGGGCCAAGATATGCCCTACCACAAACTACCATTTGAGATTTTAATTTCTGTGACATTTTTCTCAACCTTCCCAGCAAAATTGACTATCCTCTCACTTATTTGTCTTTAGCACTTTATTTAGAACTCTATGTGAGTACTAATACTTTGAATAACAATTTAAAAATGGTTACATGGATATCCACTTCCCTAGATTGTGAGTTCTTTAAGAAGCAGAGTTTGGATTTTACATACCTTTGGATTCACAGAACTTAGCACAGTGCCTAATAGCGAGCAAGCATGCCTGCCATTATGCATCCCTCCCAACTTTCCCAGACTGATAACATGTACTGAAAATTTTTCTCCTTATAGAAGGGAAGACTGGAAGAGAATGAAATGCTGGAGAGAAGAAATGAACATAGAGGAGGGAGAATGTTTCACTTGTCTCTGGATGAAGATATGAATTTAAACTAATTAAAAAGAACAAATATTTCTTAAGGACTTATGTGTTATTTCTGTGAAAAAACAAACTTTCTTCCCTTAATGAACCCATACCTGATTTTCATTAATTGAATTCCAAACCATCCTAGCCATGTCTCCCAAGTAGAGTGATCAAATGAGGTTACAAGTGCAAGTCAATAAGAAGGTTATTTTATACAAGTGCCCCCAAATGATTTTAAAATCCTCTGGGTAGCTGTAAAGTTAGGACCATTAATAAAGAAAAAAGGAATTTCAGAAGATAGGTTTTAGATTTTTCCCCCTAAAACCTTAACTCTCTTCTCCCAGTTTCTTAGTATTTTTCAAGTGAATATGTTTAGTTCAATAGTTATCCATATTAAAGCCATCTAATATACTTTTAGTCAGAATTATTGTCTTCTTTGGCAAGCCCTGGGTATGATGAGGGCAAGAATTACTTAGGGATAGTTTTGGAAAAAGACCTATTTTCTAAAGCAAAGCTACAGGTAAAGCTGTGCTCCAGTGAATGTTCAGGAGTCATGATTCAGTGGAAGAGATGGCTGGGGTCTTTAAAAGAAGGAATAGAATGGTCACAGATACTGAAGAGTAGAGCCAGAAGTAGATATTGGAAACGAAAGTAGAGTTCCTGCCAGGATGATTATGAAATAGATGTAGGGAGCAACAAGTCCAAAAAGTAAGATGGGTTTGTCTCCATGTAATCCACGATAAAAACAAGCCACAACCATTGTTGATTAGAAGACTGAAGGTGATTGAAGACCCACTACTGTGCTTCACCACCTCTAAGGCCATAACTCATCCATCTCCAGGTGGAGTCAGCAAAAATCTGGGCAGAGTAAGGTTTTGATAGATGCCAAATTAGATTCAAGGTGGAACTTCTTTACTCTGTTTGAAGGGGTAGTGTAGAATACCCTCATGCAGGAGATGGAGACCTTGAAAGGAAGAGGAGTAATGGAGAGATCAAGAGAGATAAACAATGAGGGACTGTCCAGGTGAATCAATATCATTTGAGAGTATAAATATTGAGGCTAAGTTTCCCTTTTTGTATTACAAATGACAGTGTTAGGTAAAGGATGTCACAATTCCTAATTCTCTAATGCTGTACTACTTTGGGAATGATTAAACATTTTAATGGAATTAAATGTATATTTGGGGGTTAGGCTAGAAAGGATTGGTGAGGGGTGCCTCAAAAAGGGAGAGACGTCTCTTTTATCTGGGAAAGGACCTTTCCTGACTTTGAGGATTCTGCTGATCTTTCTTTACCATCCTAACAGTAGGACTTACCACTTTGCCACACTTTAGAGGCCATCCAGGATTTTTGAAAGTTTACATAATTTAAATTTGAGCTAGAAGTACAGTACAGCCAAAGTCATTATTTTTTACCATAACAGTGCTAAGGGACATAGTGGATAAAGCATAAATGTAGTGGGAGGTAGAATATCACCTAAAGTGAGAGGGATGTTGTAGACACTTTAAGCATCAATACTAGAGACTGTGTGGTGGGTGGGTGGGTGGGGTGGGTTGTGGCATTAAAAAGTGACTGTTTTGAATTTAAGTGGGTCTATTGACAGAGGAATGGATAAAGAAAATTTGGTATATACATTTACACACACACACACACACACACAGACACACACACTGGAATATTATTCAGCCATAAAAAGGAAATTCTGCTATTTGAGACAACATGGATGGACCTTGGGGGCATTATGCTAAGGGAAATAAGTCAGAGAAAGACAAATACTGCATGATCTCACTTATATGTGAAATCTTAGAAAGCCAAACTCATAGAAACAGAGTAGAATGATGGTTGCCAGGGCTGAGGGGTGCAGGGAATGGGGTGATGTTGGTTGAAGGGTACAAATATCCAGTTATAAGATGAAAATGTCCTGGGAATTTAATGTACAACATGGTGACTGTAGTTAACAATGCAGTATTATATATTTGATAGTTTCTAGGAGAGTAGATCCTAAATGTTCTCACTGCATGTACAAAAAAGGTAATTATTTGAGGTAATGGATGTGTTAACTAACCTTATCGTGTAACCATTTTGCAATATATACATGTGTCAAATCATTGCACTGAATACCTTAAATTTACACAATTTTATATACCAATTATATCTTTTTGTTTGTTTTTTTTTCTGGGGATTTTTATTTATTTATTTGGTATTAAAATCCACTGGTTCTTGAGTAACACATGAAGTCTGAAAACAATCAACTTTCTTCAGTCTTATTTATTTTTATTTTTATTTTAATTAATTTTTTTGGTAGTTTCAAGTTTTCATTTAAATTCCAGTTAGTTAACATATAGTGTACAATGAGTTTCAGGAGTAGGATTTAGTGATTCATCACTTACATACAACACCCAGTGCTCATCACAACAAGTGCCCTTCTACTCCCCATCACCCATTTAACCCATCCCCCCGCCCACCTCCTCTCCAGCAACCATCAGTTATCTATAGGTAAGAGTCTGTTTGTATCAATTATATCTTAATAAAGTTGGAAAAAAAATAAAGTGAAAGTGGCTGTTTCTGACAAAAGTTTGTAGCGTTGTACAAATTCAGCCAGCATCCACCTATTTAATAAAATACCGAGAGGGGTATTACGGTGGGTGATGTGTAAGCCTGTGTCTTTTTTAGAAAGCTAAATTTAAAGATTATATGTTGCTTTTTCATAAAAAATGCAAGTTCATATTGAATACAACAAAACTGATTGAGAGACTCAAGAAAGCCCCCAGATGCTTCAGAGACCAGCTGACGAGTAATCATCTTGAAGTGACCAAACTCAATCTGATGCTGAAGTAGCTACTTGATAGCACAGCTGATTGAAGTCTTCATTGGTGTTGTAAAAGCTGGGAGAATTTGGAAGTTCCCAAATCCCATCCCAAATGTGGTGAGTCTCTGGGCCAATTTATAGAGAGCAGATTTAAGTAGATCTGATTTTTGCCATCAATCTGAGCAAGATGGAAACTTGCATACTAGCTGCAAATCTTTGCAAAATCTTGTTCTGAGTTGGAGAAAATGCAGACCGCTGGGCTCAGCCAGACAATGGAATTAGGATTATGGCCAATATCCATTGCTCACACAATGGATTTGAGCTGTTCCAGGCTCCAGGATAGGAATGACAGTGGAAGCAAAACTGCAGGTAGAGATTGTAGGAATGGGGGTGGAGATGGCAAAGAAGAAGAACAAGCTATGTTAAATAATGGTGTGTAAATATAATTGTCAAAGTTATTAAAACAATTGATTTCTTTTGAGAGAGAGAGAGAATGCGCATTCACAAGCAGGGAGAAGGGAGAGGGGCCGAGGGAGAGCGGGGCGGGGGGGAGAGAATCATAAGTAGGCTCCATGCCCCGCCTAGAGCCCCATGTGGGGCTTCATCTCACCACCCTGAGATCATGACCTGAGCTGAAATCAAGCCTTGGACACTTAACCAACTGAACCACCCAGGCGCTATCACACCTCTGAGCTCATGTGAGGGGCTGGTGTCTTCCAAAAGCTCAAGGAAGGGAGAGCTGGGAATCTTAATTTCTGGAAGGTGCTTATTTATTCAAATGCTACAATTTATGAGCAAGGGCTACCTGAATTATTGGATTATTTGTGTGTGTAGGGGAATGAGAGGCAGGTTTGAAACTGTGTCTTCAATGCCAATTCTACAGGCTCTCTTAGAAGAAGATGAGCTAAGTACAGACTACCAAATGATGTCTTCTACCATCTCCATGTCTTGTTTCTTTATTATTAAGGAGCTAAGCCTTTTTTATTTCCGTTCCATTGATGATACAAGCAGTTCATCAAACATGAAGATTCCTGGTTTCCTTAGTGAAGTGATGGCTGTTTGCCGAGTGATGTTAGGCCCTCCAACTTCAGTCTGAGTTCTTGAGATGGTCTGCAAAATGAGAAAGAATCTCCTGCTCTTTTAAGTCAGGGAACAGTGGGAGGACCTGACCATGGCAGGGTGTTCAGATGGTGGTGACATGGTCTTCAACACCTGCTGATCTCCAAAAGACTTCTGTTTTACCTCAGTTGATTCTCTGTTTGGGATTGCGGCTCCTCTGTCATAGATTGTCAGAAATCTGTGGGTTTTTGCTGAAATCGGCCTGACCCCCCAGCAGCACAGAAAACAGAGGACCCTGATGAGAGTAAGTTGACAGTAGAGAAGTGGATGAATTTGAGGCATGTGTCCTGGAGTTGGACTTGACAGCAGTTTTTCTGTATTTCGACATACAGAAACCGAATTTTTCTTTAAAGAAGTCACTTAAAAATCTAGTGAGCTGTGAGGTTTTCTTCTCTCTGACTTCAATTCTTTTATTCTCCTAATATTTTTATTTGACTCGACTGTGAAAACTTAACTGGTTCAGTTCCTGTTCCCTGGCAGGTGGAGGCTGGCACTCTGCCATGTGGGCTGGGCCTTCACTACGGTTCAGTTTCCTTTTCTCCGAGTCCCTGAACCATGGAGGTTGCTGAAGAATTTTCTGTATCTGCTTAGCTGTCCAGACAGAGCAGCTACACTCAGCCTCAGTCCTTGTACAGGTTCTACAAACAGGTGAGTGACTTGCTGCTTTCCACTTTTCCTAGCCACTTCCTTTTTAATTAAAAAAAAATCATTTAGAATGAAAAACTAGTTAATGATTTTTCATGCTATCTGCTCATCCTCTTTTTACTCATCTTATGTGTAATGTAGAGTAAATAAGAGGCAGAAATGCAAGCTTTGTGATAGTATATGTTACCTGTTTTTCAATATTTAATGGAAAATATATTTGATTTTCTGCTAGATTGAGAAGCATGGCAGTGACACCTCGTTTGACGGGGATGCAAGAAAAGAAGCTGCAAAATTATTTTGGAGGAAAACAATTTACCCTTCTTTATAAACCTAGTGTCCATGAATTCTCTGGACATAATTTGGACAGAAATGCTGTGACCAAGGGCCTACTGTGATGGTGATTTATGGTGGACATTATGTTTTGGGGGCCTATATAAAAGAGAGTTACAAGAAAGATGACAAAGTTCCCATTGTCCTTCTTGCCTTTCAAAGGAATGAAATTTCAGAATGCAATATAGGAACATATTCACCATCTATATTTCTTTATGAATATCATAAAGGATGGGATGGTTTCAAATTCCTCCTTAATCCGAAGCAAAAAAAAAAAAAAAGTGACTATGAACTTAGATGCAATTAAAGAACTTGGACTGCTTCAAAATCAACCTATTTCCTTTGAGGAATGTGAAGTTTTTCGTTGTGAAGGTAGGTTTAATCAGATAATCTTATATAGAGCTCTCTCCTGGACGTTCGGCGGATTTGAGGCAACTCATCTCTTTAAGGAAGAATGTCCTTATCTCTGGGTGACCAAGACTGAAACCTGGCCACACACTGTTTGCTGAGACCCAGCTGTGGTCAAAAGTAGCATATATAGAGTTCTGGAGTGTGTTTGTGTGGGGGAAGGGGTAGGGGGAAGGTGGAAGGAGAAGGGGGAGAGAGAGAGAGAGAGAGAGAAAGGGGCAGCAAACTTAGATTGTGAGATTCTCTTGGAATGAAACCAAAGCTCAAACTTCTCTCAATTGGTACTAGATCCTGCAGTTTCCCATTGTATCTGTTATATTAAAAGACCAAAATGAATTTACTTATTTTTCTGCTAAAGGATATTGTTTCCAATATTTGCTGTTATAAACAATGCTTTTGTAATGTATTTGTGAATATAACTGTGCACAAAAATACTTCTTTTGTACTTTCCCAAGAGCATTATAGAAATGCCTATTTCCTTATCTTCTTGCCAATGTTTGATATTATCAAACTTTAGAATATTTGCAATTTGATGGTCAAAAGATGGTTTCTCATTTTCTTCTTTGCTTATTCCTGATTACTAGCAAGTCTATGTGTATTGGCCATTTACATTTCTTCTCCGAAATAGTTATTTATGTCTATCCATTTAAGGGAAGGGACCCTAGGAATAATATCCCCTGAGTATTTTCATGTTCCAAACTCCTTGTCTGTGGTCTTTATACTTGAATGATCATCAGAGTATGTAATTCTTTGGGGGATTTTGTACTGTTTCTACAGGATTGATGTTGCTGTGGAAAACCTAGGGCCAGACTTACTTATATGTTTTTGTTTTTTCCCCTTTGAATGATTTGATCTTTCTCCCTGGCTGCCCCAAACATCTAAAAAATTTTTTTGTTGATGTCCGGTCAATTTACTTGGATATGTCATGATGTTGACAATCCTGGATCAGTTAAGGAAACTTTTTATGGAAGTATAACACATAAACAGAGAAATGCACAGTTGATAAATGTACCAACTGACAAACTTTTATAAATTAGACACATTAATATAGCTACTACTTGGATGAAGAAATAGATTATTATCATCATTTCAAAAGACTCCTTGCTGATTCTTCCTGGTTATTACCAGCCAAAGGTAACTACTACTTTGGCTTGTGTCGACATTAATAACTTCTTCTTTTTGAATTCTATATAAATGGAATCATATCAAAATATGTACTCTTGGGTGTCTGACCTCTTACATTCAATATTACATTTGAGGGATTGAGCTAAACAAGGGAGTGGATTATAAAATCAGACTTCTACAAGTCAGATATCTTATGCAGTATTAGGTTTGACTAATCATTTCAAGGATAAAGGCAATCAGAAATCTCAGAGAAGGCAGAAAGGGTACAAGATTATTCTTTGTGGCTCCTAGGTCCTTCCTTTGCATATTAGGCATATGCTTTCTGGATAAAAGAACAGGCAGGATTATTTTATGAAGTTTGTGGGCCACCTTACGTATTGAAGAGTGGTTACGTTATGGAACATTTATATGTTAGTTCTATAGACTGAATGTGCTCCCCCCACCCCAAACTCATATGTTGAAGCCCTAATCCCCGATGTGACTATAGTTGGAGAAGGGGCCTCTAAGGAAGTAATTAAGGTTAGATGAGGTCATAAGAGTGGGGTCTTAATTCAATAGGATAGCAGTTATATAAGAAGGGCCACCAGAGAGCTCACACTCTCTCCACAAACATACAAGGAGAGGTCATGGGAGAACACAATGAGATGGCAGCCACCTGCCAGGAAAGAGAAGAGGCTTCAGGAGGAAATCTACCTTGCTGCACAGTGATCTTGGACTTCTCAGCTTCCAGAACTGTAAGAAATAAATTTCTGTTGTCCCAGTTCATGGTATTTTGTATGGCAGCCTGAGCCAACTAAGACAATCAGCTCACATGACAATTCCCATGAAGACATGCCTCATAAATCCATAGAAGCTATATTTATTTATTCTAAGTAATCCTTAGCCAGGAGCATCCTGTTAAGGACATTCAAGAGATAAGTACTTTCCTTGTAGGAAATATCATTAGTCTATTTACCTGGAGATAAGATCATTAGCATATTTTCAAAGAAATTAGGCTGGGTCACTTTTCTTTTTTTCCCTGAGTGTTAACTTGGTAAAGTGAGTGAATGCATCTCAGGACAGCTGCTTTAGCTCCCTACCTCCCTACTGATTCATCCATATTATGTGTGTTGGAGTCATTTGTTCATTTTCATTGTCAAATAGGATGCCGGTATAATGATTCCATCATACTTTTTTTTTTTTTTTAAGTAGGCTCCATGCCCAGTGTGGAGCCCAACTCGGGGCTTGAACTCATGACTGTGAGATCAAGACCTGAGCTGAGATCAAGAGTCAGACACTTAACTGAGCCACCTAGGTGCTATTTAAAAAAAAGAAACAAAAACCTGCTTTTTTTTTTTTTAAATAAAATTACTGTTGGTGGACATTTGAGTTTTCCAGTTGGGGGCTATTACAAGTAATAGTGCTATAAGCCTTTTTGTACATGTGTTTTGGTTCACACATTTATATTTTTTGAAGAATATAAATATAAAATTTCTGGGTCATCGGATTTGTGTATGTTCAGCTTCAGTGGATACTGACAAAGCTTTCCAATGTAGCCATACCAATTTCCACTGCCACAGCAATGCATGAGAGTTTCTGTCACTTTTAAAGTTTTCCCAACACTTTTTGTTACAATATGTAGCCATTCTGGTATGTGAACTGTGGCATGACATTTTGTGAATTTGGTTTTCTTTGATTAGACTAGTCAGTAATTTATTTATTTTACAGTTTAAACCAATTACTATATTAATTTATCCTTTTTTCAATTTATAAAATGTGTCTTGTATTTTTGTTAATTCCCTCTTATATTTCTAAAGTTTGTTTCTATATTCTTTTCTGTTTCTATTTTCAAAACTTTCCTTCTTTCTTGTTATTAGCCAAGTGTACTTTTATCACAAGGTTGATATAAAGTGTTTATATTATTATTTTCTTTATATTTACAATTTTGATTTTTAATTTCCTTTTGGATGTTAAAGAAGTTCTTTGTAAAATTCCAAGAGGTTGCTTTTCTCTTTGTTTATACTTATTCTTTTCTCCTTTTATTACAGTCATTGTATGAAGTCTTCAGTATTTTTACTTTCGGTTATTTAAAGAGGTTTTCTTTCCACATGTATAGCCATATTTTTAAATGTTTCACATAGTATTCTTTTGTAGTGTAGAGAATTGCCAGCATCACTACATCTGATCCTTTCAGGTTTTTTTTCTTTTTAAGATTTTATTTAACATGTATTTACTTTATTTTATTAAAGATTTTATTTATTTGAGAGAGAGAGAATGAGATAGAGAGATAGAGAGAGAGAGAGAGAGCATGGGGGGGAAGGTCAGAGGGAGAAGCAGACTTCCCGCTGAGCGGGGAGCCCGATGCGGGACTCGATCCCGGGACTCTAGGATCATGACCTGAGCCGAAGGCAGTCGCTTAACCAACTGAGCCACCCAGGCGCCCTCATGTATTTATTTTAGAGAGAGACTGAGTGAGTTGGGGGAGGAAAGGGAGAGAGCATCAGCAGCAGACCCTATGCTGAGCATGGAGTCCAACGTGGGGCGCAGAGCCTGACCTGGGCTCTATCCCACCACTGGGGGATCATGACCTGAACAGAAACCAAGAGTTGGTCACTCAACCCACTGAGCCACCCAGGCACCCTGCAGCTGATCCTTTCAGTTTTAAATCCACCACCAAAGAGTGTCTCTTCTTCACAGGAAGTAAGTCATTCTGGGCCTGAGTCTCATTGGTTCACATAAAGTCCTCAGCCCTCCCCTGAACCACTCACTGTGCTCTGATTGGGTGAGGGATGGAGTCCTACATTCTCTTTGGAGCCAGAAAGAAAAGCAATTGGGCTGAAAGTTCCAGGAACCCCAATTGTAGATAGTAGGTTTTGGAGAGAATTTGGTGTCTGTGATTTTTTTCTTGTTTGTATGTCTCTGTACCTTATCCCTTTCAGACCTCTTGGATTATGGAGAGGAACTATTTTAAAGTATTCCCAGTTTTTCCCTGGCCTGTCCACGCCTTTATGCCTTGCTTCTCTGATTCAGAAAGGACCCCAGTTTTCATTGCCCATGTTGGAGCAAGCCACATCCTACTGCTGAGTAATTGTGTGAGAAGAGATCTGTGGACAATCTAGTTTTACCGTGTCCATCTTGCCTCTAGCTCTAGATTCTCCGCATGAGATGTTAAGGAGATTTGCCAGAATTTTCTCCACTTGCTTTCCTTATGCTGTGCTGTTGTCATGGAAAAGCTGCTTCTGTATTTTTCCCTAGTGAATGCCTTGACATTCAGTTAGCCAGTCATTCAACAACTTGTACTTTTCATTTTTCTTTGATTATTTCCCTAGATTTATTGGACGAAAGAATCATGAAAGGGATTACTTAGTAAGTCAATGTTTTAATCTTCTGTTTTTCTGTTTATTACCTTAGACTTATTCTTTTATAGATTCTGTCAAATTGGTAGCACAGATTATAACATAACTTGTGGATCATCAAGAATAAACTATAATTATATTTATAATCATAAGACTATTTGATAATACCAATGTTAAAACAGAAAGAACACTGAGTAAAGGGAAAACATTCCTAATGTTTTTATATACTCGAAGGAAAATAATTATTTGGCTGCATGTCTACATTTTTGCTAGACATCTTGAAGTTACAGTTTCAACTACTTTAGGGAATTGCTTTGGAAGGGGTGGCTGGTAGGTGGAGAATACTTACATGAACTTCAAGAACATGTTAGAAATTATCTACTTCCATAAACCTCAAAAGTCACATGTTATGTTGTGCTTTCTGAAGTTTATTATTAATAAGTTATCTTCATACTTAACACAGTTCATATTTATTACAAGGTTTATATGTGTCTGGTTGCTTAAATCTGAAAGGTTTTATGTCTGATTGGCTTTGTTATAAGTGTTATTTTTGCTTTTTTCTTCTTTTATATAGTAGGTTTTGAAGTAGGATAGTTGCTTGTCCTTTTAACAGGAAAGCAAGTTGCTAATCAAAAATAATTAATAATATATAAGAAAAGAAAACAAATTCTAGGACAACTTATGGTAAGCTCTTGTGATCTACCCTCAGTCAATTGTTAAAATTGTCCTGTCTAAACAGACTCCACAAGAGATTACCGTTTGACATGAAAACTTACAAACCACATAGAGACCTTGTTCACCAGATGCGGATTCTGCTTCTGGGTCCAAATGGGGCTGGGAAGCCTAGCTTTTCAACTCAGTAAAGTCTGTTTTCCGAGGCCATGTAACACACCAGGCTCTGGTGGGCTCTGGTACAACTGGAGTATCTGACAAGGTATGTCCATTCAAGGTTATTCAGCCTTTGCTTCTTTGTTCAAGTTAATTAGCTTTGAAAAGTCTTTTGCTGATGGACTTCATTCCATGTAGACTTTATCTCCGTTTGCAATTAAAAAATGTACTCTTAAAATTGCTTTTTTTCTCCTCTTGTAGTACAGGACATATTCCATTAAGGAGCTGAAGGATGGCAACTCCCTGCTGTTTATTCTGTGTGACTCAATGGGGCTGGGTGAGAAGGAAAAAGGGTTGTGCATGGATGACATAGTCTACATCTTAAAAGGCCACATTTCTGACAGATACCAGGTATGATTGGGCTAATCATTGAGAAATTATAACTGATATTTAAAATGTTTGTTTTTGCTCACTATTGACAACAGCAGATACTAGTCTAATTTAATGCATTGCCATTTATTTTCTTGAACTATTCTTGTTCAAGGTCATTTGTTCCTTTTTGATATTTTATGTTATGAAGAATTAAAACATCCAAAAGACTCTTCTGTCATAGCTGTCATAACAACTCTGAATGTTGTTATATATTCAATTGCCTTTGGCTATGTGAAACAGAAATCCAATTACTCACATAGGTCATTTTTCTTATGTAACAGAAATCTGAATGTAGGCAGCTTTGGGTCAGTGTGGAAGCTCTCTGAGGTTATCAATTTCAAAGGTCCATCTCACTTTCTCTTATGAGACCCTCAGTATGGGGTGCTTTGTGTCCCCCTAAAATTCACATGCTAAAGCCCTAATCCCCAGTTTGATGGTATTAGGAGGTGGGGCCTTTGAGAGGTAATCAGGTCATGAGGGTAAATCCCTCATGAATGGGATTAGTGTCCTTAGAAGAAGAGGTAGGAAAGAGATGATCTTTCTCTCTGCCCTATGAGGACACAACAAGAAGGTAGCTGTCTACAAATCAGGAAGAAGGCTCTCATCAGACACCAAATCAGCTAGCACCTTGATCTTGGACTTTCTAGCCCTCAGAACTGTAAGAAGTAATTTTTGTACTTTATGGCACCAAACATGGTAATTTGTTATAGCAGCCCAAGCTGACTAAAACATGTGGCTTTCATCCTTATGCTCTCCAGATGTTCGCACTGAGCCCTGTCTGTGTTCTAGGCAAGAGGATGGGGGATTAAAGAGAAAGCCACTTTAGTCTGTCATTTTTTAAAACTTTCTAGTCCTTTTTATAGACATGTAGATTTTGAATTAATCATTAATTTACTTTGTTCCAAATGAATAGTCAATTGTGCCAGCATCTTTCATTGAATGTCTTTGCATCTTTTCCCTACCAAATATAGGGATTGGTTTGTTCTATTGATGTATTTATCAATTCCTTTATGATATTATTTTTATTGCCATATCATTTAATTTTTTTAACTACCATAGCAATCAACTATGTTTTGATACCTCATTGGACAAGTCATATTCATTATTTATTTCTTGCATTTGTTTTTCTTGACTATTTTCACAATATTATTTTCCAAGTGAGCCTGTTTGTGTTTTGATTGTTTGTGTTTGATTTGTTGGTGCTTTGATTAAAATTACATTAAAATTTTATATCAAAATTTGATTTACATCTTCACATATCCAATGTTCTTATCCAGAAACACAGCATGTTTTATTTTTCTATTCATGCAAGGACGTTTCATTCTGTAGTATAGCAATTGTCTTGTGGAGGTAAAGTTTATTTTTAAATATTCTTTTTTTAAAACAACTTTATTATAGAGAATTTTAAACTAACACAAAAGTAGACAAAACTATTTAATGAATTCCCATTTACTCAGCTTCAACAATTTTTGACTCATGTCCCATCATCTGTGTCTATCCACTTTCTCCGTTCCTGTATTACTTGGAATCGAATTTAATACATCATAACATTTAATACATAAATCATAGCAAGTACACCAAAACTCTGATGACAAATACCTAACCCACCCTTACTAATCAACTAGTACCCAAACCACATGCAATTAGTTTTGGTGTACTGAAATATAGTTTAAATTCAAGTTTACAAAATAAGGCAGAGTCAAAGAATCCATTTTCTTTCTCTGCCCCTTCAAATACATTTTTCCCTTTTCTTATAAGCAACCATATAAAAATTTACGGTTTACTTTCCTTTTTCAGTACATAAGAAAATACCTACAGATTTGTGGTTCTCCTCTTTTTAGAGAAGTCACGAAATACTCTATGTTATTGATATATTAGAATCTTGCCACTACAAATAGTCCTGAAGTTAATAGGCTTGCACATGCATCATTTTGTATTTTTACCAGTATACCTGTGACAGATTCCCAGCAAGAGGGATTGCTAGTTCAAGAGTAAATGCATCTCAAACCACTTATGGCCCTTACATTCTGTGTGATGATACCAGATTTCTTTATGAACGCTCTCACCTCCACCACATTACTTCTATCTAGAACACTTCCGTCCATATGCTCATTCCCTTTATCAGACCAACTCCCCCTACTTTGTAGCTCCCAGATTACATGTCCCTTTCTTGCAGAAACTTCACCTGACTGCATGAATGGGCTGCTAGCTACTTGCATAAACTGTCTTCTCTACAGGATTGTTAGCCTCATAATATCAGAGACTTGCACACTGTCTGATATGTGCTCATGAATATCTATGGAATTAATATGTTGCTTTATGTTTACCTTACAGTTTAATTCCACAAAACCAATCACACCAGGTCATAGTAACTATATTGATTACCCATTGCTGAAAGACAGAATCCATCGTGTGGCATTTGTGTTCAACATCAACTCTGTTGAACACCTCTCCTGTGACATGATGCGAAGATCAAAAAAATTCAAAGGGAGTTGATAAAGTGTGGTGAGTCTCATTCCACTTTGCTATTAAGGGTAATTAGACTATATTGTAGAATGATTTTAGAACAGGATGAAAAATTTGAGAAATTGCATATATGAATCTTCCCTGGCCCACCAGTGTGGTTCAAGCAAATCAAGCACTTGATAGCTGTGTGACTTCGTGCCATGACCTAAACTCTCTATGTCTCAATTTCCTAATCTATAAAATTAGTATAACAATAGCACCTATCTCAGAAATTTATTATAAGGATTAAAGAAATCCATATATTTGAAGAGTTTAACACCGTCTTCACTACCTGCTACCACTGTATCCTAACATGAATTAATTTGCCAAAAGTTCTAGATTTCCCCTTGGGCCTTAAATGATTAGAAATGGAAAACAGTATTTCAGTAAGAAAATGCGGCAGGGAAGTAAGATGTTAGGTAGGGCGGGGTAGCATAAAGGTTTTGGAGAAGGTAAACAGGATCAGGGAATTAGGGTGCCCCATACTGGCTTCTCTTGGCTTTATTACCCATTCTGTCTGGGAAACAGCCAGTTTATCACAACTTTGATTAAGTTAGAAGCATGGAGTGATTTACTTGCTCACTGAAATTTGAGACTTTGCCAGAGAGGGGTGCAGGGAGCTGCCTGCTAACTGTGACAGAAGAGCAATGTATTTGTGATGCTTTGACACATGCTATTTCCTTCTTGAGGATTCTTCTCCCCCATCTTGTTTATGAGATCTCTTTTCTCTAGTCTCCATAAAAACAACTCTTTGGACAGGACAGAAGACCAGTCAGCAATATTGTAGCATCAAGAGTTATCTCTTCAGTTATCTTTTCCAAGAGGTGCTGTCATTTGAAACCTCATTTCTTACCATGGAAAGCAATGAAGGGAATTTCCTCTGTCAGACGGATTCCAGGTACTGATGAGTACTTGAGCGGGCTATTTTTAGGGGTGGTGGGCCTTCCCAAATCTCTGAAATTGCTCCATAGATAGCCTGTTGCATAACTGATAGCTGATTAACTGAAACATACTGATGCTGTCTTCCTTCCTTCCTTCCTTCCTTCCTTCCTTCCTTCCTTCCTTCCTTTCTTTCTTTCTTTCTTTCTGATGCTGTCTTTAATGATCAAAGTGACACGGATCTGTTCGGCCTAGGTGTAGCACATGTGGTTTTGCTCACTCTTGTGGATAGCATGGATCTGATTATAAGAGGTGACCTTAGAGACATATACAGATGTATGCCTGTGAAGCTCAAGGTAATGAATGATGTTCCTCTTTGTAGACCCATTTTCTGGGATATGTCACTATAATCACATGATATTACTGTGAATAAAAATAAAAATGGACACCTACTGAACTTAAGAATTAAAACAATTGCTTGGGTAATTTAGACTTATGTCTCAAGATTTAAAAATTAAATATATATTCATCTTTACAAGGACACAGATCATTCCATTCATTATAATTTAACCCAAATAGGTTCAATTCAACAAATATTTATTGATTGCCTTTCATAATCGAGTCAGTGTGATAGTCTCTAACCAGATACACAGAAAACTAAAACAATTTCTCTGCACTCAAAAGCTTATAATTTTATTAGTGGAGGTGAGGGCATGGGGGGGTGGGATAGGAAAAAATCAACAGAGTATGAGTATGATAAATCTCATGAAGAGACTCAAAATCAAAAGTTTAGGGGAGGAAAATATTGTGTTAAAGGGGATGGGGAAGATTTCATTCCTGGAGTGTCACTGGGAAATAGCTTTCAAAGAGGAGGAGGATTTCAGGAGGTGAAGAGACAAAATGCGGAAAAAATTCAGGCTATGAGGATAGCTTAAGTCAATACCTCAGTGTAGGAAGAGGCAGTGTGAGTGGGAAGCATGGGGTCATTCAGTTTAGTGGAGGGCTGAATCCTTGTAGGCGGAGATAAAGAAGTTATATTTGCATGAGGTGACTTTACTTAATTAGGTGCATTATGGGGAATCATAGCAAATTTTTTCTCTTAAGTTTTTATTTAAATTCCAGTTAGTTAACATACAGTGTAATATTAGTTTCAAGTGAACAATATAGTGATAAACATATCCATATATCACCCAGTGCTCATCACAACAAGTGCCCTCCTTAATCCCCATCACCTGTTTCCCCCATCCCTCCCACCCCCTCCCATCTGGTAACCTTCAGTTTGTTCTCTATGGTTCAGAGTTTGTCTCTTAGTTTGTCTCTCTCTCTCTCTCTCTCTTTTTTTTACCCTTTGCTCATTTGTTTTGTTTCTTAAATTCCACATATGAGTGAAATCATATGGTATTTGTCTTTCTCTGACTTATTTCACTTAGCCCAATACTCTCTAGGTCCAACCATATTGGTGCAAATGGCAAGATTTCATTCTTTTTGATGGCTGAGTAATATTCCATTATATATATATATATATGTATATATATATATATATATATATATACACACACACACACACCCACACATATATATGTATGTGTATACACACACACACACACACACACACATCACATCTTCTTTATCCATTCATCAGTCGATGGACACTTGGGCTATTTCCACAATTTGGCTATTGTAGATAATGCTGCTATAAAAAGTAGTGGTATAACCAAACTGAAGCTTCACAAAAATTAATCTGCTACCTACATGCAGAATGAATTGAGTCGAAAGGAATCTGGACTTGGGAATACCGGTTGGGAAGATGTAATGATAGCTAGTATTTGTTGAGCACTAAATATGTGATAAATTTTCTTATTCAATACTTACAACAACCTTGTGTCATTACCACATTTTGTAGACGAGGAAACAAAAGCATAGAGAGTAAAGCATTCGCCAGTGTTTTTGACAGTGAGAAGAAATAACAGAGCCCTATTTTGAACCCAGGCAGTGTCATTCCCCAGATAAATTAGTCTAAGCAGGAATTAAAATATCATTATTAAACTAGTCTAGTAAATTTGACTAATCATGAGAATAACTTTTAATAGGAAACAGGGAAATTACAGACTCTAGCATAAGGGTATTAAAAATGCTTCAGTTTCAAAGTAATCTATATGGAACTATTAGTTATCTTTCATTTCTAATTCATATGGAATCTATTATGTGTATTCTTGATGAAAATTTGTAGTGATACTGGAGATTGACTTGTGAAGCTCTTTAAGAAAGTATTTATGGGATCAGATCTCTACCTTCATTTTCCCCAACAGGAATACTATTGCCAAGCTCCTGTTTTTTGTTATTGCTTTCACAATATATATTGACCTAAAATAGTCTTTGTCACTGTTTCTATATTGCAGTTAGAGACAGTCCATGGAGAACTTGGATTTGCTCTTTCTGACATCTTGGTGGTTTGTAATTACACTTCAGAGTAGGAGTTGGACCCTATAAAGACATTCTGATCCTCTCTGCCCTGAGACAGATGCTGCGGGCTGCAGATGACTTCTTAGAGGATTTGCCTCTTGAGAAAACAGGTAGATGCATTTGGTGGTATCAACACTTGAAGGTGTCCTATATGGCTATCCCTGCTTGGATCTATCTATTGGGTATGTGGCAGTTCACTGTGTCACTGTAGGTCACTGTCTTGTGAGTAGTCTTACCCTTTAACTCCCTGGCTGGATGTGTTTTTTTCCCCTCACATTTCCTGATTTCCCACACTTAGGGTACACCCTAGAGAATTTGCACTACTTCTCGTTCCCCCATGTCTTAAGATAGAATCTTTGAAATGAGGCACCTCTGTCATTTCTACTGTCTGAACACCCCAAGTTGTATCCTTGCCCTCTTCTCTCAAAAAATATGCTTCTTTGCTTGGGACCCAGAAATGAATTGGATCAGCATTGTTCCTGATCAGATGTGATCTTTGATTACTTGCTGCTTTCTTGGGACTTATGTTTTTGCCTTTTTTGCCTCGACTTTTTTGACGTGTCTCCCACCTCAGAGTTTCTCTTAATGCCATGTGGTCAGTGCTAGGTAGATGTATGTGCCTTTCATATTTCTGGCCTCAGATTTTAGCGTTACATGTATTCTCTCTCAAATTCTCTCAAGAATATATGCGGTACTGTTTCAATCAAAGATCAGACAGAAGTTTCAGTTTATTCTCAAATCTTATTTTAGTCTGTGAGAAATCAAATTAGAATATCATATCCTCTTTATTCTCTCTCACTTGCAAACTACTAAGAAACTCTCGGGTTACTACTGATTCCACCATCTTGGTTTCTCCATGTCTTTTCTTCTTCATGGAGCATTAACTCCCTAAGTCAGGGCTGGTTGGTTTAGACCCCCCAGTAGCCCAATGTTCCTCCTCCTTCTGGTTGCTTTTTCCTAATAATCCAATAAGAATATTTTGTTTCTCTTTTCTCAGAGATCAAAGAAAAGGAATAATCAAGTGTGTAAAAGAAGGAAAAAATATGTGAACCCTTCACATACTAATAATATTTATCTCATCATAGAAGATTGAAAATTGAGAAATAAGAAAACACAGGAAAAAGAGAAGTAGCTGAAACAGAAGGGACATGTTTTATTTATGTCTGGGATGAAGATACATATATAAAATCATAATACCTGCAACTAATGAGGAACAGTGGGCTTAAAGCCATTAGTGGTGGGAAAAAATGATCATAATTTTTTTGGATTTATGTTCTGTATCTGTGAAAATCGAAAGTTTCTTTTTACAAAACCTGAATTTAACTTAAGTGTGTGTGTGTGTGATTTTGGAAAAGTTTTTTTTAATTTGTCAGCGTCTTCTGGTCTTCACCCACATCATCTTAAATTTGTCTTCTTGTTTTATTTCTAAAGTATTTGATCTTCTCTTTGGGTCTCCAGTTAATGTTATATTCTTTAACCTAAAGCCATTTTTTTGTTTGTTTAAATCCGAAACCCTCTTCTGAGAAGTGACAATATTCGTAAGAGTTTAAGAGGATTAAAACTGACAAAGACTATAATTTGATTTTTCTGTCAATTATGACTATTTTAGTTACAAGTGACAAAACCTAACCTGAATTACATGATAAAAAAATAATCAAACTATATAAAAGGCTGGGATTGAACTTAACTGCCTCAGAAATGGTTGAATCTAGGGATTCAAAAGCTATTCTCTCTTTCTCTCTCACACACATGCATGCACACTCACACTCACACACACACGCACGCACGCGCGCACACACGCACACACACACACACACACACACACACACACACACACACATTCTGGTTCCTTCTTCGTGTCTATTGCTGTCATTCTCTCAGGCTAGCATTCTCCATAAATCTTAAGCCATTTGAATCCAAGCTTCAGGTTGACATTCATTCAGTCTTGTGACCCAAAAAGGAAGAGGGCTTTTCTTTTCCAGTTTCACTGTGAAATAATCCAAAAAAGGACTGCAGTTGATTTCGTTCAAATCATATGCCTACCCCAGGAACAATCACTTTATCTGCAGAAGAGAGAGAAATATGATCATCCCATCTTAAGTCATACTTTCCCAGGAAGAATGATTTGTTATTAGAAGAAGGGAGTTAATCATGGACCTGGCCACTGTTGGATTAACTGAGCTGGAGAGGCACCTCAATATGTATCTTATGGGTTAGGGAAGTTTTCTATCTAGTTTCTCACTTAGATTATAAAGAAAGTCTTATTAATCAGTCTAAAATGACTAACAATTACTTTTAAAAAGCTTTTTATTAAAGTAACGTGTAGACATAAAAAGTACACAGTTCATAATTATATGGCTCAATACATTTTGATAGACTTAACCCATGAAACTAGAACTCGGGTAAGAAACAGAACACTCTAGAAGTCCCCTTTAAGCCTCAGTCTAGCTACCTAGGATATCCACTATTCTGACTTCTAATTGCATAGATTAGTCTTGTCCTTTTTTATCCCTTACATAACATTATGCACTATTTACCCTT